CTACCGTTACATCACTTTTAAAATTTCATCCACTATGAAACAACCTGGACGAGTTTTTTAATCTGCTAAAAAAAATTACTCGAAGTCATTTTATAAAAAGGACATACCTGGAGTTTAAACAATAATAAACGTGTAACAGACTTCCTTAACAATGAAAACAATTTAATTCATCAAATATATTTTTACTCACATTCCAATAAATAGTCTTTGCGTAGTGCTAAGTTCGGGACTGTGATTTTACAAATACTTTAAATGTTACCTTCGATTTTTGCGAAAGCTCTGTAATTCATGCATATTTAATAATTACTTATATAATGGTAAAAATCTCTTTCTCTTAAACAAGGCATTACCACTAACCTTATTTTTCACCATTTTGGAGAAAAAAAATATTTGCTAGACGCCCTCCAGCCTTCAAGTATGTTGATAATCGTATAATCTTCAATCACTGATATTTAATCATGCATGTCATAATATTTATCCCGAAGCTTTGATCCTTAAACAAAATTATAATCTATATGAAGCTCAATGCTTGGATTCAAAAATAAAAATATTAGATATACTGTCATTTACAACAAACAAAAGGATTTTTATTTCATATCAACACATTTACTTTCTGGTCATCCAAAATTTCAAATAAAATCTATAGAATCCTCAGTCTTATTTAGAATTATTGCATACAAATTTTAAATTTATAATTTTCTGTTAAAGTGTCTTATTAATTTTTGGCAGGCAATTTACGTGAGACTTGAAAATGCAGATTAAAGTAATATTTAAAAATAAAAATGCGAGCATTTTTTGAGCTATCGAAAGGCTGGATGAATTTTCCTCGAACTTCTACCATATAAAGAAAAAGTTTTAAGTCACAATTTACATTGAAGATTCAGCTACGAAGCCATTTAGTGGACCGACCAGAAATTGATGAAGTCGAAAAGAAATTTTAGCTCACTCCGCTTCACAGGAATATGATAATTGTTTGAAACTTTCATCAATTCTGTTGTGTGGTGTGAGCAATATTTGCATACATTTTCGTAAAAATCACGCGGTGTAACGCGTGCTATATGCTAAATTTTTCTCATTTGTCTTTTCTTATTTCCTTTCTAGAAGAGTTTCATTTTGGGGGATGCTTTTTCTTGCATTTTTTGCACTTTCTTGTTTAATTTTGTCAACAACAAAACGAGGTCTTAAGTTGGACATTCACGATCAATCTGTTCCACTTCATTTGAAGGGCTTCTTAGCATACCGTTTCCATTTTCAGGCCGTAACATTTCGTGGATTATTCACAGGTCGGTCTGCGCCGACCGCACCTACGGGCAACCCGATCCCCAAAATACTAATTAAAGATAATAATAAAATAATTTATAAATTAGTTTAGTTACACTTTAAGGGTTGTTGTTGCGGTACCCTGTTAAAATTTTAATATAAATATGGTGCTAAAGGATGAATTACAAATAAAAAATACAATTGAAACTTCCCTTAGGAATCTACCTACCTTTTCATAGACAACCTAAGAGTTAAAAACCTATAGTGGAAGAATAGTAAAAATAAAGATATAATGCGTTGTGGAACAAAAAGAAAGATAAAAAAAACCAAAATTTTTGAAATTAAATATTTTTTATTTAACAATTGTTTAAATTAAAATTACTGCCATATTTAAGAAATGGATATATTCAGATTATGATACACACGAAAAGACAGAAAGAACAAGTTACATACACTTACACATAAAAACAGCTGCAGCTTTAAAAAAACAATACACTATAGCGCATCATCAAAAACTAAAATTCTTTCATTGAAATCTTTTTGGTCTATGAATTTTAGAGCTAGAATTGAACAAGGTGAAAACATATTTCGTTTTCTAACGTGTAAGAAAACTAAAAAACTCACCTGAGATCTCATGCAAGGAATTGAAAGAATAAGCCAAATGTTGCCTTGCCATAGAAAAATGTAGATCTGGAAATCACTGAAAGTCCACAGTTTTCTTTGTTGTAATGCTTATCGCTCCTTCAATTTTTTACGACAATTTCGGCATTAATCAAATTTTTCGGTGTAACTGCTCATAACGTTGCAGTTTTTATACTCCATCAGATATTCATCAAATCGTCACATATTGTCGCCATTTTTCTGTTGCGAAACAATAAAATCTTTCCAGCCTAAAATTGCATCGCTGAAGCTCCAATTTACAAAACTCTTGCAGAATATAGTTGGAATAAGACGCTGCTGATCACAACCATTTTTTTTTCTTCTCAGGATCATCGGTATCTCTGCAGGGGCAAGAACCAAAAAGGACTAACTGCCCTCGGGCCCCGCAGATGCACCCTTTCTTTCACGTTCAGACAAGCCAATCTAAAAAGTTACACAAAGGAATCTCTCCCAATCAGGTGACGCGAGACAGTTAAAACACAAAAACTTCCGCCGTTCAAAATGGCGAGCATATAGTTAAATCAAATAAAGTAATTTATAATTTAATCAACATCGAAACAATAAAAGAAATTACATAAAAAGTTAAAGTAATTAATAATTAAGTTGTTTACAAGAAAAATAAAAATGATAAATTAAGATATCTATTAAAACTGTAAAAATTACCGTTTATAATTTAAAAGGTGCCAAAGATGCCACAAGAAAGGAAGAAGTTTTGGTGGCGAAAATTTAAATTATTTAAAAGTACTGGTAAAGCCGAAAAATGATGTATCTGCATTTTTTGCAATTTAACATTCCCCCATACGAATAGTCCGTATTTGATGCTACTGTATTTCACATTGTATGAGTATGAGCCTATTTAACATATTGCATATATTATTATTTTTGAGGATTGTATTTTAATTCTGAATTTGTTATTTTATTGATTAATTATATTTTATTACTTATTTTTATTTGTTATTTTATTTTATTTATTGTATTATGTGTTTTATAGTATTTGTTATGTTTATGGTGATTGCATTTGTCGAATGCTGATACAATGTATCACTTTTTATTTGTGTGTAGGTAATATATGAACCCAATTCCCTAGGCTACTGCGCCTCCTCCTCCCCCTGTTATCAAAACGGGTCCCCCGCCCTGATTTCCCCGTACTGACTTCCATCCACACACGGCCTCCTCCATTTTGTGGTTGCTGCTTTTGTGAGAGAGGCTTGGTGCCTCTTACGGACTATCGTATTTCAGTTTTATGGCCTACTGGGCCGAACGAAAATCCAAATTGGATATAATTCCAACTTTTTTTCTCGGTCTACACCAATTTTCATAGGTTTCTTACATTGACGGAGGGGTTTGGCATTCTGTGTTCCAAAAAAAGTGTTGTGGATTACTGGCAAATGTCTGTCTTTTCAACGTAGGGGATACATCCCATCTAATAGAAAAACACGTTATGCTGGACATGCATTATCGGACTAATTTATGGAAGTTCAAATGTACCTCTGATTTATAACTACGCATATCGCTAATGAGATGTTACTTTTTTTACTGTCAACTTAACTATTCATATATAAAAAAAGAGGTATTTCTAAACAAAAAATAACAAAGACTATGAAAATGTCAAATTTATCTCACGCAAAATACAGGCCTGTTTATTCTGTATGAGAAACATACATTCATATATAATATATTATTATTATTATTACTAGTACTAGTACTTACAGATTCTTAGAGGTGACGTGGGCTGATTGTTATTGAAGGAACTTGTCTACTTATTGACTTTAGAACCTGTTAGATTTAAAATAATAGACAATTCTAATTACAACACCAAAGAATAATTTTCTTTATGCCATCTATCGCACTTACATTAATGATGTTTTACATTGATGTTTTTAATAATTACTAATTTTTGCAATAATGGCATGAAGCATGTAAATAATTTCTTAACTGTTTTGAAGATAATTTAGAAATATGTTTTAAAGAAGATTTCTCTGATAAGGATATCTTCCGACTTAAAAAACGCTAGCTTACAGCTAAAGGCGACAAAAATTTTGGAGCCATAAGAGCAGAAATGTTATTTCCAATACTTAAGTTTATGTGTGATACAAATAAAGTAATAAGTAACCTAAGAAATAAAAAAGAGTAACTTGAAATAAACGAGTTTGTTTTAAATTATAACAAGATTAATGAATTTTTACATGAATCTTAGGCAATTGTTTTCTTATGTGAAAAATATATGAAAAGATAAATCAATCTTTATGTATGCAAATAAGATTTTAATTGATTTAATATATTAAAAAATGTCAATCAAAATAATTCACAAAGCCGAAATATTATATAAAAATCTATTCCTCTCTGCTATAAGCAAATCTCTGCATACTCAGATAAATTATTGTGATGGTTCAAATCTCACTTAGTATAACATATATAGTCATCTTCATGAGTCGAGAACTCATGATAAAGGGGTAGTGTGGCATCTCCAAGCTGTCAAACGACCTTCGAACACATCAGTAGCTGCTGAGATTGAGTTACATTGTGGTTACTAATTGTAGGAGGTTCTGGTTTGTGGAGGACAAACTCCACAGTTTACAATATTACCTAACTACAAATCTCTATTATATCGGAAGTGATATTAATACTGCATGGCGATAGAAAGTAATGCAGGAGACAACACAAGAATGAGAATGCAGTTTATAACGTCAGAATATTTAATGAAACAACAAATTTATTTAAAATAAATTAGTATTAACATCATAATATGTTATATTATAAACAAGCGAGCTGGTGGATTCAAAGAGAAGAGAGAGAGAATAGGTGGAAGTGCGCGTTTAATTACTGAAGTACTTCTTCACCGTTGTGTTCAAGAGACGACGTCTCCGGAATGGCGGGATAGTCGCGCACGTAGAACTCACAGGCATGGCGTAGTCGATGACGACGCCACAAAACTCTGACTTATGTCTAATATATAGAATCAGATTTCCCTCCTGAGGGACATCTAAGCAAAATTGGTCCAACTTGTGTTTCGCTTTGAAGGAGTGGCTGACAGAACGCAGCCCCATGAGACTGATGCCACTACGGCAACCGAGATAATAAGCCAACAGTGAGATTTGAACTCACGACCTCTGATTTACGAGACCAATGCTCTGACCCTGGGCTATGTTGGCTACTCAGTGGCTGACCGCAGAGAGAAATTAATTGCTAAAAGGCACATGGATTTTCCCGTTTTTGAATAATATTAGTTGAGAGCACATCCAGATGACAGAGCCTCATGCGTTTGATTCGTGTTCCTCACCCATGTTTCACCATGTCATGCCTTAATTCCCTAGGCCACTAGTTAGCTAATTTAAGTAAAGAAGTACAAACGACAGACTTTGGATGAAGAAAAATTTACATATTGTAGAATACTTTTGTATTCCGCATTATGAAAGAAACTTGATATCTACTTGCACTGAAATACTTATAAACTGCCATAAATAAGCTGAAAATGTATGACTAATTGTTAGATATTTGAATCAAAGTATTTCGAGAAGAAATATTAGCGGTGTCACTTTGAAATAATCCTTCACAATGCTGGTGTAGAATGCGGAAGAGTAGTTGATTTTGATGGACGAATTATTTTTTGATAGCGCTGTTTCAATCGAGTTTCAGCCAAAGATTAAAGTTAAGAATGCAATACGACAATTTATTTGTTGAATTTTAAGATGGTCAAAAATTGTTTTATTGATCTAATTATTTCTGAAATCATTGTCTGCAAACATCAAATTTATAAAATCAAAAAGCAGTGAAAAAAGTAATTTTTTTAGCACTGATGCCAGTCCTAATCGCTTAGTTGCTTAATTAATAGACAATATAATATTTAAAGATGCTTTCTGAAGGACACACTTTTGTTTGAGAATAAGAAAAATCGCAGGGAAGAAGTTCCAGATTCGTTTCATGTTCTCTTACAAAATCTTTTTTTTTTCTTACAAAATGTATAAAAAAATCCATGCTGAGAGTATGTACTGGGCAAGAGGAATAAATTTTTTCATTAACGAAATTTTTATCATTATTCTTAATGCGATTCCTCAATATTAATCTTCTGAATATGCACACTATCTACCGTTATCAGTTTTGTTTTTAATCGTTATCTATCATTTTTATCTTTAATATGATTCCAGAAATAATCTTGTAAATCAACCCTCTATTACAAGTAATTTTCAGAAACATCTGCATTAGTTTGTTAGGGCATATGAAAAGGAATAAAGCAATTTTCTCATCGCTGACATGTAAAATAATCAATATTTTGAATCATTCTGGTTGGAAGAGGAAATTAGAGAAATCCACGCAGTGACCTTTGGGAAATTTATATACTTACCTCGCAGGTGCATTTTGTAAAAAATATTCGCTAATCTTCCTAATTGAAACAGCATTTCTTCTTGCGAATACAATTCAATCATGTGCCGCATTCGAATAAATGAACTAATTCTCTGAATTAAGTAAGTTGGCTGCAAAAGGTAAAAGCAACTTCCTTGTCACTTGACTTGATTGAATGTACCTCGCCTTCACCACTGGATAAAAATCTCAGCTAGAAGGTTATTCAATTAACTCGGCGCTTAGGTGCAATGTAATACTCTGCTTCGAGATAATTTTTGTTTTAATTCAGAGGGTTTCTTTCTGGCAAAATTTTGCTCTTTTCTTAAATTGAGGCAATACTGTGGGTTTTTTTGAGATTTTATTATTCTAAAATGTTAATCATATTGCCAGTTTTGGGAACACAAAAACATAATCTTCGCATTCATAATTTTTTCAATATGTAACGAAATTTGCAGCAGTATCCATTTAAGTGCTGAAGGATTCAGAAGTCTAGAGCAAAAGTAAAAATCTATAATTCACAAAGGAATGAAAATTTAAAGATATCGTTTGTACACAAGAAAATGAAAATGAGCCTGAATTTTTTTATCCTGAAATCAGAAGCATAAATTTCAATTTAAACAACCAGAATTTCCGTGGTTTAGGTGCCTGATGCCTTACATAGAATAACAAAGTGGATGATATAACGGCTGGCAAACGTTCATTGTGCCATACTCCATCCAGGAACATGGCTGTCAGACCAGAAAAATATCTAATGCAGCATTAAACGCCATTTCTAATGGTATAGGAGAAATTCCAGATCAGCGCACTCTTGAACCAGAACAAGAGTAACAAAAACATTGCTTACTACTGCGAAACACTGTGAGTTCTCGTCTATTAGTTGAGCTCCTGAAAGGAGGGCGATACATTAATCGTTTGTTAGCCTTTGCTTCTACCAGTAACTTATTCTATGCGATACATAGCTTGACAACTACAGAACCAACTGGGGGTTTAAACTGTAAGCAAAGTTAAGAAAACATTCAAATAAAAAAACAGCATGCAAACGGAATATTTTTATCTTCATTCATTTGTGAATTATTCATTTTAAAAGCTTCAATTTCTGAATCACGCTATATAAGCTACAGTGATGAATATGTATCCGGTCCACTATTTCAGTAAGACATAGGAGCAAAGAAGGGTTGCTTACTAAAACATATATTTTCAGATGATAAATACATGACAAAATGATCCTTACTAGATATGATGATTATTGTCAGACTATTTTTGGCAGGAGTTTGAAAAAGATTCAGTAGAATAGGCACCCTCTCAGAGGCGAGTTTGGACTCGCCCGACTGAAAAGTTGATCTAAACCCTTCATCAAGGGGTTAATGTTAGTTTTCCCTCTATTGCCAATACTGTTGTTTTTGTTTGTTTGCTTTTGCTTTACTGTTTATTAAGAAGAATCGCAGATGACTTTTCATTGTATATTTGCACTAGAATTTTACCTCTCAGTATAATTGTGGATTTTGCACTACATTTTCAGTTATAATAAATATTGTGTCGCCCATTAACTAAGAACTCTCATTACATCGAGAGCATGCCATCACAATTTAAAAAAAGACCTGTTTAGATTTCTGTTCTGTTTGGAAGCTCTATAAGAAATATTTGGAATTAACTTATTGCTTTCGAACTACAATCAGAAAATCAAGGCATCTGAGGTAGAGTTCTAGTTTCTAAACTATCATACACATTCCATGTAGCATATATGCAGAGGAAATTCACTTCTCACCAGGCCACACACATGCTCTTCAGAAACAAAAATATCATTTCATCAAGCAACCGAAACTCTGCCAGCAAGTGTGAAATTTTTCATAATAGTTAAATTTAAATCTTGTATCTGGTTTTAATTTAAATTAATGTTAGAGTTAAAACTACGTCATAAAAATCTACAGCTCTGTTTATATTCTTCGAGAATCGTTTCGTAAATATCTCGATCAAAAGATTTTAAAAGAGTGTATAAATTATATTTTTCTTTTTTCTTGTTCGTATGTGAATGCTTAATGATAAGAGTTTAAAACTGTTTTCGATTCATATTATGAAAACTAATTAGTACCTTAATTTCGAGAATTAAAACTTTGAAAGAAAATTTAGGTAGTACTGAAGTAGTGCGTACATTAATATATTGGTTAAATTACATTTTCAAATTTGAGCTGTTATTTTAAAACATCAGCGATAATTGCTTTAAAATGAATTAAACTAATGAATGTCGAAGATGGAAGTCATAAGTGATATATTTTTTAATGACGATTATTACCTTTCTCTGAAAAGCTTAAGCTGACTTTCGTTCACCAATTAAAGTTCTAACATTAATTGATGCAAACTTCGAGGAATAGATATTGAAATTACCGCCTATATAAATCAATTCAAATCTTGAAAGTAAATTCGGTGTTACGAATGTATTCCTACTAAATATAATAAAATAAATAGTGGTATTACTCTTTCAATTGGATATTTACTTTTGTCTCTTTGATTTCTGGATATTTCTCTTTGCAAAAATGTATTCTACTAATAATGTTCCCCATTCTAATTCAAAACTATTGATACTATTCCGTGAAACCGTCCGGGATTTGAATAATATTTTGGGAATCAAACCTAAATAAGCAAGACCTTTTGTGGAGAAAACAGGAAAAATATTGCTTGCAGTAAAAGACTGTGTAAGTATGTACAAATGGTTGACAAACATCAATGCAGTATAGGTAAACAAATGAACTGATCACAAAGAATCACAATCACAGCTTTCCAAATACATATATATATTACTTTTGACTCCATAAGTCGCTTTTTAATGATCTGTTTGCAGCTGCCAATGAACAACAAAATTAACTTTCTGACCAACTTAACGCCAAGTAACATTTTAAAAAAAATCTCAATGCAGTACAGCCGATTGAATATACATAACTTAACTTACATGTCCCCATTCCTAGACTCTCGTGATTTTCTCTGAGTATTTGATTGAATATACAGAGTGCTCAGACAGTGAGGGAATGAAGGCGATTCTAAACGGGAAGGAAACGTTATAGAAATGTTAAGACGCGTATGAAAAAGAAGACCTTCTGGTGAGAGGGTCAGTTATGGATTATTTTGTTTTAGAATTAGAAGGAAAGATCAACGAAATTACAGTTTTATGCAATTTTCTTCTTTTCTGGAATAACAGTATTGGATGATTTTGACTAAGATAATTATAATTTTCGGAATAGGAGTAAATTTGATAACAAACTGTTTGAGTTGCAGAAGAAATATTTGCATTGGTTGAATATACAAGCTGTAAACGCAGACTGTAAATATATGTATTCTTTGTTGAAAAATAAATATACAATATATGCAATGATGCTCAATAATTTTTATTTTAATAAAAATTCATCATACTCGAGATAATATGCTGAATAAAGAGTAAAAATTCCCTTTCACTGCAGGCAAATTTCCAAATAAACTATGCTATTTTTCGCTATGGAATTAAATACTTTGAAAGTGAGATAACTTTTTTTAAAAAATAAATAAAACTGCATGTTGCCAAATGTCCTTCAACCTACTCTTTGACATCCAGTCATGGATCATGACCCCAGTCAAGCTTAGGAATAAAATGCGATGAAAGAAGGATGAAGGGTTAAGGTATCCGACTAGGATGAAAAAATTAGAGGCGATTTTTGAAGAAAAATTCAAAAACTTTTTTATGATCTAAAAATAAAGTCAAAACTTTAAGATTCTAAAACACTCTTTGTTTTCATTCTTATTCCTTTAATATTTTCTTACTTGATATTTAGTTGAACTAATGCGT